CTTAAGCTTCATAAGAAATATAAATTACAGATGTTAAAATCTCCATCCCAGAAATACAGAAGCAGTGGTCAGGGCATTTTCAGCAGTTAATGAACGGAGGTGATGCTTAGGGTGAAGCTCCTTCACATCCAAAGTCCGTGCTATAGGACATGAAATCACCCCGAAAAATCACATGTATGTGGCCCATAGATGTATTTTATTTGAGACATGATTTGCCAATACTTTAGAGTAGAAAAGGTTCAGTTATAATCTGTCTTGCAGACTTCTGTTGAAAATTTAGAACAACTGGTAATCAATACCGTATTTCTAAAAGTTATAGATTGATGGCAGTCATACCTCTCAGCTGGGAATTCTTTCTCTAGCTTGCCCGAGGCCCTGTCACACGTGTTGTGTTACACCTGGGTTACACTCCTGAGCAACACTGCCCACTTGACTGCTGATGGAATTTGGGTTTTGACTCCTGTTCTGTTGTGTCCCTGGGCTCCATCTTCTCTTCCGTTGGTCGCAGGTCCTTGTATTGGCATTGTTGTGTGTAAAATCGTTCTCCTATCTGGTTCTTTTTGTTATGCCAGTCCTACCAACTGGTCGTCACGACCTCTCACCTCAGATGCTCTGCTGATCACCTGGCATCCTATTCTAGTCTTCATCGCCTCTGATTCAGCCTGCAGATGGCCCGGCTGCAGGAATATATTTTTAAAAAAATTTGTGTAGATGAAGTCCAGTGTCAGAGTGAAATACAGACTCCTTAGCATGATTATAAGACTATTTGTGTCCATTTGTGATCTGGCCTCCGGTGTTGGTTCATTTTTCATGCTTCTCTTGTCCATATTAAATATTGGCTCTTCCCCAAGTCTTGACCTTTTATTCGTCCTTTTGCACTTTCCCTTCTCCTTGGTATAGTCTATGTAAATTATATGAACACGTGCAACTGCAAATACAAACATGAAACTAGAGTCATTACTTTCTGAAACTCATTTTTTATTTTATTTTGACCTGATCAATAAGTCTCCTGTTTCTGCTCTCACTAAGAACAGATACAGAAGAGAAAAGCAGGCTTACATATCAGAGTATTGTCCTAACTGGTTCATCAGAGCAATAATAGCAGACAGCCTTGGCTGTGTATCCAAGTTTTGTTATCTATTAACTATGTAGAGTTAAAATATTTTTATTTATTTGAAAGACAGATGGAGAGAGGGAGAAAAACACAGACATCGTCCATCTGCTGGTTCATCCTCTGGATGGCTGCAATGGCTCTTAATGGGCCACCCTAAAGACAGGAATCTGGAACTCTGTCCAGGTTTATCAGGTGGGAGAGCTTGGGCTGTCTTATGCTATTCTCAGGAACATTAGCAAGGTGCTGGGTTTGTGGTGGAGCAGTTGATGTCCATGTAGGAAGCTGGCATTGCAAGAGGCAGGTGAACCTGCTGTGCCACGGCACCAGGCCCTGACTGTGTAAACTTAAACAGGTCATTTCACATGGTTGTACTGTTCTTTACTTGTCTGTAAAGTAGGGATACTAATAGGTCTTCCACTCCACTGAGGTAATGGAAATAATTCACATAAAGCCACATATTATCACCCACTAAGTATTAGCTATTGCTCCAATCTTTACAGTTTTTACTCCATTCAGTCATTCATTTAGCCTGGGAACTGTTCTAGGATATTTGATACATGTCTTTTTAGAAACCACCATGTCTTTATGAAGATAATGTCAGCCCTCTTTCCATGTGAAAATATGGAAGGTGAGAGAAAGAGAGAGCGAGAGAGGGAGAAGGAGGGCGAGAGAGACTGCCACAATCATAAAACCCAAAGATCTTAGGTCTTGCTTCCCTTCTCATATTACCCCTTGTTATGTAAGTTTTGCTGGATTGTCATAACAAAATATCGCAGAGTTGGGGGCTTAACCAACAGAAACTGACTCCTCATGGTCCCAGAGGCTGGAAAAGGTCAAACTATTGGCATGGAGAACTCTTCTGCTGTGTTCTAAAAGTTTCAAGTATCTTTATTCATTTTTATGCTCAAATAAGTATGTTTCTTATTTCTAAATTTTCTGGTCTTTGATTTTTATAAATATTCATTCAATGAAGTTCACAGTTTAATCTTAGAGGGTTTTCAGGCACTCCTTTCCTTTGATGAATTAGCTTTTCTGTGTTCTTCCTCTGACCTCGTGTGACCATTTTATTGCTCTACTGGAGGAGAAAAAAAGAATCCACGTGTTCTCTCAAATTTGAGTTTAGCTTTTTGAGCCTTAAAATTTTTAATCTTGTTATTCATCATGAACTATTGTTTCAGATAATTTCATACCTTGCTTTGGCATGGATGATTATCATGAATCTGAATTCCTGAGGGGGGAAAAATACCAGTAGGACTGCAGGATTAATTAGAGCTCCTTTTCGTTTTTTTTTTTTTTGCATCACACAATTTCTCTTATTGAATATAAGCTGTGGGGTGACCTGGTCAATGCCTTTCTCAAATTTACTTCTTCAGCTTAAGAGAAAAACATTTAATTACTTTTAGTGTCATACCCAACGACACTATATTTGCAGTGAGCAAATTAAAGGGACCATTCTTGTTTCCGATGGCTGTGTTTCATTTGCTAGACCCAGAGAAGAATGTTTTTAGTTTGTTCTAAAATGAAGAGTTTTGAATCTATTTTGAAAATAGCATATTCAGTGGTGCTGATGGCACACAGTGCTGGCTTATGTTGATAAATGTTTTAGTATCTTCTTGTCAACCTGAGTAAAATGGAATACATCTGAGTAAAAATGAGAATGGAGCTGTTGTCACCTCAGCTGCTAGGCAAGACTGAACAATGTAAATGTTGCTAAAACTGATTGTATGACATATTTTCAGTATGATTCTAAGATTGAAATCTACCAGGAAATTCATGAATGATGAATAGCTTTGTATTTCTTTTTCTCTCCATATTTATACCCACATACATATACTTACTTATATGCCAAGTTGACTGTGCCAATTTGTGAAGTGGCAACTCAAAGAATTAAATCTGGGAGTTGATTTTCCTATATCCATTCATTCATAAATCTGGTAGTCTGCTTCATCTATTCATTAGATCCTTAACAATAGCAGTAAACACTGTCGTATTACTAGGAGTCCTGTGTGAAGATGGATAAATAGAAACTTAAATGTAGATAAGGAAAGTGAAATATAATAGTAAAATATATACTGTGTGTCTGTAAAATTAGTTAACCTTATCCCTAAAGTTTGAATAATCTTAATTTCGTTTCTTAGATTTCTTTTAAAAGACATATAGGCCTGATCCATAGCTGTATTGATACACATCATTAAGGAAGCACAAACATTGATGGGTCTGGAGACCCGTAAAACTTAGGAAACACCTAACCACACACGAGGTCATTATAAAAATCACTCTTCAATCACCACACCTGAAGTTTTAGAAACTTGACAGTTTTGCAACATTTCACATATGATAAATTCATTTATTTGAAGAGTACAGTTAGCACTTTTTAGTAAGTTTTCAGAGCTGTGCAGTCACGGCCACAATCCCACATGGGAAATTTTCATGAATCTGTTTGCTGCCAACCCATCTTCCCCCAGCAGAGGTTACCCCAGTGCCTGTGTCAGTGATGAGCTTTCTCTGAACACTTCTTCCTTCACCCAGCATGGCACTTTGAGGAGCAGGTGTCTATCCTCACTATCTTCCTGTTGCCATCTGATATCCATCGTATGACTGTGCTGCCTTTTTTCTTTCTTTTTTAAGTTTGAGATTATACATTTTTTATTTTATTATTTTAACATTTCACAATCCAGTTTTATAAAGTTTTTTTTTTTAATTTTATTTTAACTTTTTCATTAACAGTCACATGTTCATCATTGCGGGCATGGACAATGACAAGAGAGTCCATCTTCCTATTGTCAGGATACAACTCATGGTTTCATTGGGAGTCCATCTTTGATCTGGAAGTAGAGATGCACACTGCACTGTATCCTCACATCTGGACATGATAGTCTCCATTACACACTCACCACACATCTCTCTAAAAATGAAAAGCTACAATATAAAATCAAAAACAGGAAGAAAAATAGAAATTTACACCATGAATTTCTCAAGAGGTTTTGATAGTTCAACAGTCCTGAATTGCTGGTGATCCCGCCGTTCCAATCACAATGAAATCTCTCCCAAATCCACTGGCTGCTATAGTCCACCTTAGTGTCTCCGTCTGCCCAGATCTTCACTGCCAATGGTCGGCTGGGGTAGTAGATCAGTTTTTCTGTCCTCTGTCCTCTCTCTCTCTTCTTTTCCTTAAGGACTATTTTCTTACATTGAAAGTCAGAGCTGGAGAGAGCTGCACCAAACAAAACCAGGAGCCAGGAGCTTCCTCCAGGTTTTCCATGTGGTTGGCAGGGGCCCAAGTGTTTGGGCCATCTTTTTTGCTGCCTTTCCCAGACCATTAACAGGGAACCATATGGGATGCCAGCATTGCAGCTTGTGGCTTTACCTGTTATGCCGCAACATAAGCCTCTGTGCCATTACTGCTTAGCCTTTATAATAACTTTTTATTATTTAAAAACATACACTCAGGAAAAGGGTGGGAGAGGTTTATTTCATTGCTTATAATTTTATATTTTATATTTTTTCAATTTGACATAGTATATTATGTATTAAAGCAGGTAAGGGATATGCTTCCCCAGAATTATACTAAGAGGAAGGAGGAAGCCCTTTGCTGATGCAAATTCCAGCCCCTTGGGGTACTCAGCACTGATTCTGTGGCGTTCTGCGGTCAATGTGCACATGCACACATGTGTATTCAGCTATACTACTGTGCAATCTGTGTGTTTGCACCATCTCAGCAGTCTTACGTTACATCTCAGAAATGAAGTCACAGAGCGTAGCAGTTTCACTCAGGGGTGCTACTAATACTGACTTTTCTGACTTGGTCAAATTGATCAGTGCCCCATGTGGAATACTGTAAGTGTGCAGACCCTGTTTGTTCATTATGATGTGCATTTTCTCACAGGCTACTTCGGATCTGCTTGTGAGGAAAAGGTGGACCCGTGCGCTTCGTCCCCATGCCAGAACAACGGCACCTGCTATGTGGATGGCGTGCATTTCACCTGCAGCTGCAGCCCAGGTTTCACGGGCCCCACCTGTGCCCAGCTTGTTGACTTCTGCGCTCTCAACCCCTGTGCTCACGGCACCTGCCGCAGTGTGGGTACCAGCTACAAATGCCTCTGTGATCCAGGTTGGTGCCATTGCAGACAGCAAAGATTTTTCTTTTTTTCTTTTTGAAAGCAAAGTTACAGAGGGAGAAAAGGAGAGACAGGTGGAGAGAATGAGAGATCTTCCATCCACTGGTTCACTTTGCAACTGTCCAAAACAGCTGGGAGTGGGCTGACCAAAGCCAGGAGGCTGGAACTTCTTTAAAGTCTCCCACATGAGTGCAGGGACCCAAACACTTGGGCCTTTTCTGTTGCCTTCTGAAGTGCATTTGCAGGGAGCTGAATTGGAAGTGGAACATCAAGGTTTCGAATTGATGCCCATAATGAATGCTGATGTTCTAGACAGTGGCTTAACCTTACAAGCCACAATACTTGCTCTGCAAAGCTTTTCTTGACCCAATTTCAAGATGCTGTTAGCTTTTCTTTGGTATTGAAGCAAATGTCTGCCTAGAGAATTTTGTATACTTTGAATGAAAGTGGATTCCACTCACGATACATTTTCTTTCTAGATTTCCTTGCCTGGGTTGCAAAAATGCCCTTTGCCCTGTGTGTAAGCAATTTGGAGTTGGAAAATTAGGCAATGCAAGTGAGCAAAATGGATAGATTAATGTAGGAATAATTGTATAACAGGTTAATTCTTTTTAACAGTGTGTTATAGGTCATGCTAGAGCATGCTTTTAAAAGATGGCATATCCTTTACTGCTGTGTGCTTAAGGTAATGGAATAAGCTTCCTGTCTTACTGTGTGTGAGAAGCACAATGCAAGCCATTCAGAATGTTGTCGATTAAAATTCTGCCTCCGTGCACAGAGTGTCACACCCCTGACTGCCTGCCGATGCATCCAGGACTCCCACCATTTATATTTTTCAAATGTCTTCTGAGTTTGTATTACTGCTTTCTAATTATGGAAATTCAGCTGTTTAGATGTCAAAATGATTACTTAGCCAAAATGTATGTATGCCCATTCGTATGGGAGGGGTTGGACAACACATGGGCAGTCTTTTCTTTCCTGACATTTCCATTCTGTCCACGTCCCTGTCGTTGCACTAGGAAGCTCTTTAAAAGGCTTCTCAGGCCTCGGGGTCCCGACGCAGGTCTCTGACCCAGTGGCCTGGCTGGCGCTGCCTCACTCTGCTTGGCACTGGCGCACCTGCTCCTCAGCACCCTGTTTTGCCTGGAAAGCTTTGGGACTGAATCAACTCTTCTGCCGCCGCCTACACAGTCACCTGCGCGGTCTCTAAAACATTGTTCAGTGATGCTGTGGGTTACACCAGCTGGCCTGGACCATGTTGATCCCTACTATGAGGCCCCAGTGTGTGAGGGCACTCTGAGTGCACAGCGAAGCCATCACCCAACGATGCATTTCTCTGGATGTGTCCCAGTTGTGTGAGGTCTGCATTCAGTGCCCGTGTTCATCAACAACATCAGACCCCAGCTAAACTTTAGTGAACATTAGTATTTCTAGGTTGTGTGCTGTATGCTTCACATCTCTGAAACGTGGTCTTCCCATGCCACTTGTACACCAAGATGTAACACTGTGTGTGGTAGGTGTCTACACACCCAGTAGGGACCTAAGCCCACATTCTACCCACGTGCCCCTGTTTCTGCTGCACCAGTGCCTGGTCCAGAACTTGCAAGAGGCTCATATCATACCTTATCAATGAAAGGAGACAATGGGAAAATCAGTCAGCATCAGAAGGGTGTTGATGGTTCTTTTTCACCTAGGTTTCTTAATGATCTGATTTCCCAAGCAATTGTTATTTTGCCAAATGCCTCTTTTCTGCTGTGAAACAATCAGAGGAAATGGGGGGTTGAGTCATCCTCATGTCAGAGTTAGGTTCCCCAGAGGAGCAGCGGAGGGATGGAAGCAGGGAGGGAAGGAGGTAGTGTGTGTGCAGGTGCGGCCCAGCCACACCACACTGGCTAATCTGCTTTTCTCCACTTGTGCCAGGTTTAGTCTTCTCTCATCTAGTCATATAGTAAGAGCAACACCTAGCATAGCGTTAGAGAAAATACCTAGGTGTGTGGCCCAGCCAGGGAACACAAAATTAGTTCTCCAGTAAACCTTGAGATGAAGTTTCTCCAATTCTCTGTATGATGTGAAAACCTTTCCCTGGGATTTTGCCTCCTCTCAGAGCCACAGCAGAGATAGGAGTAGTGCCTCCCAGGACCTCGTGCCCTGGGGCTGGGCAGGGTGGGGAATGGGGCAGAGTGGGCACACCCTTACCCATGGGGAATAGAGATCTCTAGCACGAGCAGTGCTGTGTTTGCAAATGGACTGAGCTGCAGTGGTGCTGGGCATGGATGGATTGGCCCACCTGTCTGTCTGTCGTCTATTTATCTATCTCTCCCTCTCTCTGTGTGTCAGGGAAAGTTACAAAAGGGCGAGCCAGGCCACAGCCCAGATCCTGGAACCCCATCTCAGTCTCCTACATGAGTGCAGGGTCCCAGGCACTTGGGTGGACTTCTGCTGTTTTCCAGGCACATTAACAGGGAGCTAGGTCAGAAATGAGCAGCCTGGACTTAGATCAGCACCCATGTGGGATACTGGCACTTGCAGGTGTTGGTTTAATTTGCTACACCACAATGCCAGCCCCTACTTGGTATATCTTTTTGAAGTTCAAATGGAACACTGATATTTTAAGATAAATGTTGCTCTTCAATAATGCCAGTAGAATGTTTTCTTTTGTGTGTGTGTGTGTTTTTTAAATTTAAGGAACTTTGGAATCCATTTGATTCTCAGGATTACAATAAATACATGATGATTACTGCAACACAGTTCTCCTCAGTCGTCATGTTAACATGGTGTTAATACAAAGAAAACATTTAGTGTCATGCACAGAAGCAATTCTGATATTTTTGCTTTGTGTGAGGAAGTTTTTTCTAAGTAGAAGTAGCCGTTGCAGAGTGGGAATAGGCTCCCACTACTGACTGTGGCTGTAGAACTGCTGGGTCTCCCTGGGCCTCCCTGGGCTTTCCTTGGCCTGCCTGGTTCCCCTTGGGCCTCCCTGGGCCTCCCTGTGCCTCTCTGGGCCCCTGTGTTCACTCTGTGTGAGAGTACTAAGCCAAGGGGAAACAGCCTGTCTACCGCACATGGTGATAAAAGCCATCACTTCCATGCATTGTTAAAGGTTTCTGGAGGAGTCTCTCAAGTCATAGAGGGTGAATGGCTCCCATTCAGTTCCACTCTCCATTCCCTCTCTCTTCTGCTGGAGTTCGCTGCCCACTTGGCGCATTTATCTCGTTCATTGCCTGTGGCCCAGCAGCAACTCCTATGCAGGCTTGCAAACGTCGAAAAACACTCACTTTTGAACCCTTTGTGTATTACACGAAGCCCTTCGTTTACTACACAAAGTGAAAGCCTTGGGAGGTAAAATTGCTGTTGGATAGGACCTTGCTCGGATCCTTAGGGTGCCTCATGTCTGGTGAAAATTTACGCTGGAAGAGGTGAACATGACAAGTTTGGATGTAAAGTTTCTCGTCTTAATCTTTTGGAGCATGTGATCGGTTTGCATAATGGAGGAATCTCATGAGAATGGGTGGAATTGGGTGACCACTATGGAGCATAGAGTTGGATCATCCTTTCTGAGAGTGGACAAGATAGATTCCCAGTGAAACTGTTGAATATATTCTGACAGTAGGATGCTGGACTCTGACATTTTTCATGCCTACAGTGTTGGGAAACACTTCAATAGTGGAATGATGGACTTATGACTGTTTATGAAGGACTACCCATTGCAATACTAGAGGGGAAATCAGTATGTGTGGAGGGGAGGCAATGGGAAATCCCAGAACCTATGGAACTGTATCATTAAAAAAAAATGCATTAAATCTAAAATATTTAAGTGAAGTTTAATTAGCTAAGTTTTGATTTACACCAAATATAGATAAGGAAGACTGTCAAGTAAAAAAAAAAAAAAGAGTGGAGAGTTCCCATTTCATAAATGGCAACAAACTGAAATCATGTCAAGCTGGAAATTAGTTCTCAGCTGACAGAACGTGATCTTGGCCTGACTGCATTGATCATAGGCCCTGCTAGATGGACTTGGGTTTCCATTCTAAACTTGCTTGTTGTAGTGAGTTAGCTCCTTGAAAAGAAACTGTATCCATGGTAATTCCGATACCATTTCTGTGTTTTACATAGGCCTTCCATTACAGGCTGTGTTTCTCAACTGTATGACCTAAAACAAAACTCTCATTTCTTCCTTCTGTTTCCCCTCAGACTTGGGGAGCTCTCTCAGTATTCTGATGGTATCTGCTGGAGACAGAATCAAAGATAAGACTTAATGGTTGAAATTTTCAGAGGAATTGAACAGAAATAAAGACATAAACATACCTGCAAAGATATGAAGACATTAGCTCACTAATGAATGTCTAAATGCATTTATGTGCTTGGATTAAGTACAGTGTACAACTTTCATGTTTTATTAAGCAGAAAACTTTATCTTGTTTGCCAGGATGAAAATCATTCTTGGTTTAATATGCCATAGGAGTTTGCTGATCAGCAGATATGTGTACCACATCATTCAGGGCAAGTTGAGGAACATTATATAAAATAAATTCTCTCTTTTCCAGTCCTAATCTTGCTACTTTGCCCTTTCTCTTTTCTTTTTTTTTTTCTTTCTTTTTTTGAGAGTCAGAGAAATAGACACAGAGAGAAAGAAAGAGAGAGAGAAAGAGATGAGTGAGAGAAAAATGAATGTTCCCAGCTGCCAGAACCCAATCTGACAGAAGCCGGGAGCTGAGAACTTGACCCAAACTCCATGTGGGTGGCAGAAATCAGCTCCTGTGCCTCTCTGTGTCTGCGCTGGCAGGAAGCTGGCATCGGAAGCAGGATCTTGGCATCAAATCCGAAATGCTTCCATAATGGGAAGGGGTGTCTTAACCGGTGTCTTAACCACTAGTCAAATGCCTGCCCCAGCCCTTCTTTTTGTATCCTCCAAGTGTGATGCATACTCTTGCCAGCTGGAATCTGGTGGAATCTTGTTTAGCTCGCTGCTGCTGCAGTAAGAGTGGTTTGTTCT